TTTGTTATAAATTTTCAAATTTATAGCATTTGAATATATATATATTTGATGTTGATAAATTTATTATAAATAATTTTAGTACTATATATCCAACCATGATTTAATACTTGTATAAACTTAATAAGTAGCTAGTTATTAACCCAGCAAATGGCAAGTCATTGCATATAATATGAGTTTTTTTTTTTTTTTTTTTTTTTTCGCAATTATTAAGTGTAGTTGAAAACATAATAGTTTAGTAAAGTGAAAGTATTTTTGATGATTGGTTACAAAGGTAATGAAAAATAATTTATAATATATATACATTGCCTACTAAATTACATGATCCTTCAGAATCATACGGAGTATTATATATGGGCTGTTGTGATAAAACAAACAATAAGTTTGCACAAATTAATTGGTAATTTATTTGTACTGTGTTTCTAAGTGAGAAGTTGCAGATTAGAGTTTGGATCAACCCCATTTATTGTGTGATCGAGAAGAACATATTTATTTGAAATCTTGTTAGAGAAGAGGCGAGGACCATAACGATGTTGCATTTCTTTGTCTTGATTTTGGAAATAGTATTGATAAAATTAAAATTCATATCGGAGTTATAGATAAAAGAAAAGGCTAAGGGAGTTTGAGCATTATTAGAAAGATTTTAAACATATATAGAATTCTAGTTAATGTCTTGTGTTCAAATTTTATGGACATACGTAGCATATCAAGTACTTGAGCAATACACTTAAATCAAGCAACTAATCAAACACCACACCAAGGTAATTGGTAGATTTTGCATTTATATTTCTAATCATTTTCCTAAAAATTCTAATACTCTTTTTTTCTTTTCTTTTTCCTTTTCTGTTTTCAATTAAATACTAAATTTCATGTGTAATTTCCCCCCCCCCTAAATATATTGTGCAAGAGAAGATGATAGGATATAACCTAATTAATCATCTTAATACCTCAAAATCGTAATCTAAATGTATTAGATAATCTATCTCCATCAAACTAGCTAGCTCCCTAGCAATTCATAGATATACATATACTTAAATGACAAATATCTTCCTATTTAGTAAAACAACACGGAGTATGTTTGTTAAATGAGACAAAACTTACCTTTCTTTTTACATAAATGCATAAAATTAAATTAGAAACCAAGAAAGCTACCATATATAACTATTACAAAATTGGTACCCACACATTTATGATAAAAATGTACCTAATTTTTTTTTAATTCTTAGAATGCTAGTTAGGCCACGGTTTCTTCACCTTTTAAACTGAATTGAAATAAATTTTACTAAACAAATTGATCAATTTTGTTGATTAATTATTTTTCCCATTATGCAATTGATTTGAACAAATCATGTTGACAAATGCTAAAATTTTCTTTTTTTAATTTACTAAGCAAAGAAGAAATTGGTGTATGAGTATTGAGTAGTATGCAAAACCTATAATTCAATACACTTAAAAACAAAACCCAAAAAAAAAAGAAAAAAAAAAAGAAACTGTAGTTCACTGGCTATCCAAATAGGTAGTTAAAGTTCGTAAAATCTATTATACATTCAAATCATAAATGCAGTACGAGTGCATTCTATTCACTCATTCACTATTTAAATAAGGCTATTTTTTTATTTGAATTCGTTTGAATTTATCTTAGTTTTGAAACTATGTTTTTTTAAGTAGAACTCTTAAGCACATCTCATTTTTGAATTTAAAATTATTCACGGAATGTACTTAATTTTCACTAAAATGAGTGAAAATAAATTTTAAAAAAAGACAAACTATTGGGTGCGGACAAACGCACCCAATGTTTGGTGCGACCACTCTCCATTTTTCGCCTTTTCACTTTTCTTCTCTCTGGAAATTAGAAAACTGAATCTTTCTCTCTCCTCTTTCTTCCACCAATTTGCGATTTACTTAGAAGCAATTTGCGATTTGCGATTGCTACGATTTACGATTGCAATTCACGATTTGCGAAATTGCTGCTGGTGGCTGTGGGAATTGATGTGGCGAGGGGCGTTCGCTGGTAGTGCTTCTGGTTTGCGTGGTTGGGATGGGCTCCAGCGTGGCTGTGGCAGGAAGAAGAAAGAGTGGTGGTGCGTGGTTGTGTTGGTGGTGGGTGCGGTAGGTTTGGTGGACGGTGGATCAGTTGAGTGGGGTGGCGTGAGGATTGGTGAGTGGGATTTTGGTGAACCTGCCATTGAAGGGGAGGAGAGAGAAAGTGGTGAAGGAAATGATGAAATTAGTGAGAAGGTGAACGGGCCATTGAAGGGGGAAGAGAGAGAAAATCATTTGTTTGGTGGGGTTTTTTTTGTGTTTGGAGAGATTGATGATTGTTTTTGGGTTGTAAATTAGTATATCAGCCAAGAGGAGAGAGAAAGAAATAATTTGTACCTGTATATACTTTGTATATAAGCCAATAAAAGTAACATATTAGCCAATTAATGTTTGTTATCAGTTAATATCAGGGACATATCAGAAATTAATAAAACGTATCAGCCAACAAAAGATATTTATCAACCAACAAGAGGAATACATCAGCCAACAAGAAGAATATATCAGCCAACAAAAGATACTTATCAGCCAACCTAAGAAACATATCAGCCAACAAATGAAGCATATCAGCAAACAAAAACAACAGGTACAACAGGTAAGCTAACAAAATAAACATATCAGCCAACAAAATGAAACATGTCAGCCAACAAAATAAATGTATCAGCCAACTAAAGAAACATATAAGCCAAATGATGTCTGATATCAGTCAACAAAAGAAAAAAAATATATATCAGCCAACAAAAAGAATATATTAGCCAACACAAAAATCATATCAACCAACAAATGAAACATATCAGCCAACACATGATACATATCAGCCAACAAGTAAAACATATAAATCAAGCCACCCGCACGCAATAGCTTCTCTTAAAAAAAAACCACACATAAAACTATTTTTCGTATTCTCATTGATAATGCTATGCTATTAAAAACATATACCTTAATACATCATGGTACACCCAAATGTATAATAGTTACCAAACCTAAAATAAACATTTTGTTATAGGAAGTTTCCAAATCTACTACATGAAAATAAACACTTGTATTAAACATCATCAAGGTGGCGCGAAATTAACGACCAACTCCTATTTCAACGGGCCCTCTCTCTCTCCTTTTCACTTTCTCTCTAAAAACTTGAATTTTCCAAATTTTTTTCTCTTTTCCTTCTTCCTCTTCTCAACTGCTTTCTCTCTCTAATTCTCCATTGATTTACATCGATCATTTCACTAATTAATCACTTAATACGATTCTCAAACACTTTCAATTCAGTAATTTTCGTCAAATATTCCCCCAAATTTCGCTAATCGAGGAAATTCCTGCTTCAATTCAAAGTTTTCGTGCCGAATCTCCGATTTGATTGATTTCTGAGGTATGATACATTTAATTTTGTTAATTAGGGTTCCTGATATTATCATACGACTGTAAATTATTCATTGATCGATTTTTTTATGGTTAACTTAGTTACGATAAAAAGTTAAGACGATTAGGATTCCCTCTTCGCGAGAGTAATTTAGTAAGGGGAGTTTTGGCGTGTTTCTTTCTGATAAAATGTATGCAAATTTCGGTGTCCTGTAAACGAGGGACATGAACCTGCCAAATTCAGAAACTCCATGATTTATATGAATATTAATATTGAATTATTTCACGGAGAAAAAGCCAGAAAAATCGAAAAGTTTAATAATAATTGGAACTTTGTTTTTTAATTTGGCGCATTGAATAATAATCTTCCGTGTAGAGTGCATTGAATTTCGCTCCAAATTCTGGAAATCACCAAGTCTCAGCAAGGTCAAAACTTATTTTATTCATTTATTTCTATTTTTTTCGCCTGGAAATTTTTGTCAGAATCATAAAGTTTGGGGAACATAGTTTAGTATAGGAGTAATTAGTACTACTCGCATTACTTAAGTCCAATAGCAATTTCTATTGTACAACCGGGCGCAACACCTGTGTGTTGTGTCTAATTTAATACTCCGTATTCACCTGGGTGAATTTGGTTATAGGTACTCTCTACACAGTTACACCTAAACCGAGAGTTAAATTTGTTCATTATTCGTTGCGAAACGGACTTTTAGATATGTAATACACCTGTTGTGTACAAGTTTTTCATTAGCAAGTTTTATTGTACAATGAGTCAATGACACACCCCAGGCAAGTTAGCTTTAGGTTACACCTTAAACCTTAACCGGTTGTATTAGTTTTGGTCAGTGTTCTTTGAGAAACAGACTTTTATATGTTTTAAGATGATTAGAACCTGTGTTAGAGTGTTATCTAATACACCTATTGTGTTCAAGTTTTTCCTGCGATGTAACTACTAGTTAAACGTAGTCTATTACGGTGAATTTTATGGGGATGAACAATGATATCGAAGGCACGTGGACCTCCATCTATGTCTCCGTCTTCCATATCCCTAAACAGTGAACCCATGTTCCCATATAAATTGGGCTAGTAAAATAGGAGTTGAATGTTTTTAGCCCCAACTTTGTAGTGTTAATGACAAGCAGAAACAGTTAATGCTTGTGATTAATCTCAAGAAATTCACTGCTAATCCCTATAAAGTCTTGTAAATTGAGACTTTTCCTATTATTTTAACCTTTTAAACAAGGGAGATTAGTTGTCTTCATCAGATTACTTGAAAGGAACAAACTACTCTTTTTAATAGTGACATTTTTTTTACCTTAATATGTTAGGAGTTTCCAAGAAATGATCATTTTCTCTACCATAATTGTTACTTCCCACAACAATAAAGGAATTAGCTTTGTCCCTAAATATAGTTGATTGTGACAGATTATTAGATACAGTGAAACATAATTACCCATCAAGAAATGATTATTACCCTGCGATTTTCATTGTAAGTTGTATCTGTTCTTAACACCTCAATAGCGGTTCAGACACATGACACTTGGACACATACTCGTCTCAGAGGTATCAAGGGTCCGAGTAACATAGATTCCCATCCGGATTATAATATTAATGCCCACAAAGAAGTCCTTGATAACAAACAAGCTGTAATTGCTGCATTTGGAAGTTTAATCTCATTATCAATGAATTCCCTTTCATAAAATTTGGAGGGAAAGGAGACAGGAACAGGACAGGGTAGATTTGTAAGTTGTAAGAAGGAGGAGAGAGAAAGAATCCTAAATAGGGCAGCCTACCCGACCATGGCACTCCCGTGAGAGTGACAAAAGCCATTGCCCCCTCTAGTGTGGTCACTCCATCAGCAAGAAAAAGGGTAAATCAACACTTGTCTTATCCTACGCACCTCACCCGTGTTAACCTACACCACATCATTCTTTCTAGCTTCACTCATCACCCTTCTTCCTCTCTTCTTTACGGTCCCCCCATCACCCTTTCTCTCTCCTAGCTATCCCTCTAATTGTAGGGGTACCCTTAAAGCAGATGACCGTTAATGCCCAACAATTCTTCAGTATCAGTAATCTGCCCTGTAATTTAAAGACACCCCTTTAATTTACAGAGTCCTTTGATCATCCTCACATGATCTGATCTGTACAATTCATAATCAATTAGATCTGGGTTTCTACCAATAAAGATGTAATCTTTTTGATAAATTTCATCATCCTATCAGTTTAGAATCTTGCTTTAATCTTATTTTTCTGGTTTTTTTTTTGTTCTTCTGAATTTATGGCAGATTTTGACACCCCAGAAAGGATCTTCTTCTTATGGTGGGAGCGTGAATGTGGGATAATATATATGAAAGCCTGCAATATATTATTATTATGTACATTTGATAAAAAGTTCACCAATGTCGTCTAATTTGGGTTGTTTGGATGGATGTATTTGACGCCGTGCGAGAATTTCGTAAAGATTTAGCTGTGGATACCGCAAGAAGACCACTGGTTCCGGCTGAAAAGTACAATGGAATTGCGACCGGTACCGCCACACGCCGGTCCCGGACCAGAGAAGTTAGCTCAAGATACAAATCACCAACACCGCCACCGAATTCGATTACGAATTCGAGGCGATGTCCATCACCAAACCTTGCTAGGAATGCTAATGCATCATTATTGCCATCACCCCAATTGGGGGATGGTTCTAAGAGAGCTGTGTCTGCAGAGAGGAAAAGGTCATCCACCCCTACATCAGTGTCTCGGCCTACGACTCCAGTTTCGGATACATCAGCAGAGTCACAGATATCTGCTAAAAAGATGATAAGCGGTAGGTTGCCAGAGGTGTTATGGCCTTCCACAATGCGTAGTCTTAGTGTTTCGTTTCAATCTGATATCATTTCAATACCTGTTAGTAAGAAGGAGAAAGAGAAACTTGTTTCACATGCCCTTTCAGATCGTACTTTGAAATCATCTTCCAATGTAGCACAAAGACAGGCTGAGGCAGCTGCTTCGCCAAGGAAAGGGACCCCGGAGAGGAAGAGGAGTCCATTGAAAGGGAAGAATTCATCTCATCAATCTGAGAATTCGAGACCTGTTGATGGTTCACAATCCCGGTTGATTGATCAGCATAGGTGGCCTAGTAGAACAGGTGGGAAAATGTCTTCTAGTTCTAATATAATGACAAGAAGTGTGGATCTCACTGATAGAATTGCTAAAATTCCGAGTTCTTCGATTCCTGGTATTGGTACACCTTCATTAAGGAGACTGTCAGCTGATAATATTCCTAGGCCATTACATAAATCTTCGAGTGATGCTTCAGAGCAGTCAGAATTTGATGATCATATTGGGTCACTGGGATTACGGATGAAGTCAGTTGATGATAGTTTACTGAGGATATCTGCACGACAAAAAGCCAACGGTTTTAATTCGTCAGAAAAGGCGATATCAGCTGCTTCTTCAGTCAGATCTGGGTCACTGCCTGGGTCACGTCTCCCATCACCTAGTAGGACCTCCATTTCCAAAGTCACACCGAGTCCATCCAAAACGAGACCGTCAACTCCTACACAGTCTAGGGGAGCAAGTCCGTCGAGGATTAGACCATCTAGCCCCACCAGACAACCCAGTAGTACAACTTCAGTGCTCAGTTTTGTTGCTGATATTAAGAAAGGCAAGAAAACTAACCAATTAGAAGAGGCTCATCAGCTGCGCTTGTTTTATAATAGACATTTGCAGTGGAGATTTGCTAATGCTCGAGCTGAGGCTGCTCTGTATATTCAGAAAATTACTGCAGAGGTAGAATTTCAATGTTTATTATTTAACCAAAACTATGTTAAGCTTGTTCTCCTATCTAAAACATTAGCTTTGTAGTTTTGAAAATTGAATGATTAGATTATTACTCATTTAATAGATCTTCATTAGGCAATTTAAATGAAAATCTTTTGAAACACATAGTTGAGCTATAGGATATATGAGTGGTTAGTTTGATAAAAAGTAGGATATTAGTGATTGGCTGCTCTGTAGGATATGTGATTGGATCTAGTTAACTGGGGAAGAAATAGGCATTTTATGGTGATTATCTTGATGCAACAAAGTCCTAAAAATAGAATCTGCATTCTTTCTCTTAATTGTAAATTTTGGAAGTACTTTCTCTGAAAGTGATGCAACCCTGTATAATGTAGTTTTGCTTGCATTTAAATTTCATTGTACTAAATAATTTTGGTACTGCAGCAAACACTCTATAATGTATGGGAGACAAATTTGGAACTGTGGGATTCTGTCATAAGGAAGCGTATTGATCTTCAGCAGCTGAATCTGGAGCTAAAGCTGAATTCGGTGTTGAGTGAGCAAGTAAGTTTTGCTTGAGTCTTAAATTTAATTTTGCAAACTCATTATGTCCTTTCTCTTTGCAACTTGATCAGATGGATTTTACTTCCTTCATGTTCTTTGTTTTACGAGTGAATTATGATGCATCGAATCACTTGGCTTACTCTACTAAAAATTTCTGTAAAATATTAAGTGAATTAGAAATTACGTGTCAATAAGCTCAGGAAATTTTCCCAGGAAACTGTATTCTTTTAAACAAACTCTATGTAGACTGATTCTGAGTTCTGACCTGCCCTTGTACTTTCATAGCTTAATTTTTAACCATTAGTTTTTCAATAGATAATAGAGAGGATATATTTTTTTTGTAAATTTCTGTTTCTATCTGGTTCACGACGATGCTTACTTCCCCTTTCACATTATTGCAAAAATTAAATTTCAGATGGCGTATCTAGAAGATTGGGCTTTAGTTGAGAGAGACCATTCTACTTCTTTAAATGGAGCAATCAATGATCTTGAGTCTTGCACTCTTCGGCTTCCAGTTACTGGAGGGGCAAAAGTAAGGCAGCTTTAAGACTTTTGGATCAACATTACCAAAAAAAACCCTCTTTGCTTCTGTTATATCATGAATTCGGATGAATAAATAATGTTTGTTATTTTGCAGGCTGATATTGATTCTTTGAAGTCTTCAATTAGCTCTGGTGTTGATGTGATGCAGGCAATGGGTTCCTCCGTCTGTTCTGTTTTATCAAAGGTAAGACAAGGAGCCAGTTCTTGTTTCTTGTCCTATTTGAGTGCACTCTTTTATTTTGTTTGAAATTGCATATTTTGGATGCTGATCATTTACTCCATCCAGTTTTCATTGCAAATGAAGCAAAAAGCAAAATCTGGGATGTAATTTTGCATAAATTATTTAATCCTGTTATGGCATAAGAATTTTTTTTTTTCATGGTATTTGTTTCTGGTTTTATCTTTCTTTCTGTATTAGTTCTTTGTTGTGTTATATGCTTCAGCTTCCACATGCTTGCCCTCCAGGCCTTGTTTGTCTGTTTGAATATCATCGTGGAAATTTAATTTCCTTGAAGAAAAGTCTATATTTTTGGTTCACTGAGCTCCACCTACTTTCCATGATCAACTCTTACTTGAATGCTGTTTTTCTTATTAATTTAATGTTTTAAAAATGTCAGCAAGCTTCATATTGTCTTTTTGCATGCACTTCCGTGAAAGTTATATGAATAGAAAATTTTCAATTCCATTTCCATCAAACTTATTCTTCTAATGGATTGTTACTCAAGGTAGTTGGACTTGTTACATCAAACATGAAATAATGGAAATTCCAGCTTGTTGGTTTTGGTATCAGATGTGTTTTGGTGAGAACTTTAGGAATTTATTTCCTGTCACAAAAACTAATTTTCCTGAGGGATTTTTTTTTTGCAATTTATCTGGAAAGCTTATGTGTGCATCCTTTTAGTTCTGATAACAACACAATGAACCTACTTTTCCTCTGCCTTGCATATCTCAGCTTATCTAATTCTTGCCAGGATAATGATTTCCATGCTCTTATGAGCAATGGAACAATAAGAGTGTCACTTTATTGTATCTTCTTTCAACGTGCTACAGATCTAATGTCTTCATGATAAGTGTTGCAAATGGCTGAAATATACGAAGTATATAGATGCCTGTATAATGTGTGTGCTATTTCACTGCCAAGCATTTCATGAGAATTGGAGGTGTACTGTTCAAATTAGTCCTTTCTTCCTTTTCCGTAAATTTTACCAGCCTACAACTTTGGATTGCCTCCTTATTGGAATGCTGACTAGCTGCTTTGCTCTTCATATAATGTAGGTTGAAGGAATCAATAGCTTGGTTTCTGAGCTCTCTGATATTGCAGGACAGGGGAGGGCCATGCTTAATGAGTGTGAGGCTTTGTCAGCTTCAACGTCCTCCATGCAGGTGAGGATAACGCATAGTAATGATATTCTCTTGCTAATAATTTGCAACATCTTAATGATGATATTTATTGTGCATGCACTTTTTATTGAAAAAGTGAAAATTATTGCTAAATTTCATTTCTGCTCGCATGCATGTAATTATGCTGAAATTTACCAGATATATTATTAAAATTTTGGATGATTTCTCGTCATCTTGGTACAAGTCCCTTAACTCTGCCATGTCCAGGTCAATCCTTTGGCATATGTGTCGTCTGTGGACATTAAGATTATTAAGTATCTATTGATTTATTCTAGTGGGTCCTTTTTTTATGAGGTGCTGTGGTTCAGTGGATGTTTCTGTTTCTCAGTAGTGCCTCTCACTAATCCAACAACTGCCTGGTTTTTATGATGATACAACTTTGACAATGATTATACAATTGCATGGTTTATTAAGGAAATTAAATTTTGTAAGAAACGATGAAACAGCCCTTAACAGACCTCACCTTTTAATGACAAGGACTGAATACAATCTTGATTGCCTGGCATTCTTTTTTGCATGTGGGACTTGTATCTTTTGTAGTAAGACTATGAAAGATCTACTTGATTTTATTATGTAAAGCTGGTTGAGCTACTTAATGGATTTTTATTTTGAATTAACCAAGATTAACGACTTGTTTGGTATGCGATTATTAATATTGGTGATGATAGTGAGCTTGTATATTATTTGCAACATGCGGCCATGCCAATGTCTATGGTTCTGATTTTATCTCCAAGTTATCTCAAATTACATGTTTTCTTTATAGATTTTGATTACCAGTCATGACTACGTATTTTAGAGGTGGTTTTGATTGGTATAGATACTTATGATTCAAACAGAGTATTGGAGAAACATTACCATGGACGTTGACTTTTCTTGCAAGATTACATATTAACTTATTATCATTACTGCTTCTAAAACAGACTGTACTTGTAATGCCAAATAGCGCGAAAGTGTTATACTAGATTTCTAGAATTTTTTTGGCTGATGGGTGGTGGTCCACTGTCCTCAGTCATGTCAGTTGCAGTAACAACCTATGAACTTTCTATAGAACATCTTTATGTACTTTGTTCATTTTTATGTAAAGATCTATCTGTAAATCGAAGTGGCTGGCTGTCAATTTCTTTTAGAAGACAGTCAAAGTGGAGAGTGATCATCAAACCCACCGAAAGAACCCGAAAAGGGGTCATACTTAACTATTATACAGTAGCTTTGATGATTAGATATGCTAGGCATTGGTTTGGTCTTTGTTGCAACTTTTACAATATGTTAATCATGCTTCTTGCATTAGCAGCCTCCATTAGTCGTCATTATCATCCCCATTGTCGTCGCTTTTAACTTTCAAGATCTTTCTTTACTTTCTAATGATGGACCGGTACCTGATGTTTATATCTGCTGCTGTAAAATAGGTGAAAGAATACAGTCTGATGACGCAGCTAATACAATCGCAACAAGAACTAAAGAAGACAAGGGAGCCGTTATTATGGACATCCTAAACACATTTTTTGGTTACTGCTGTGGTGCTGAAGCTAACAGTTTTCCTACTTTGCCATATTCTCAGGTCTCAAAAGTATGTAAATTTTTTTTAGGTCCCTATATTAGGTTTTTTTTTCCTTAATTTATTTTTTTCTATTTATCTAGTGAGAATCATAATTTTTTTACTTAATTTTCCCTTTTTTTTTTTTTTTTTTTCTCGAAATGAGCTGTTGAGCTCGCTTTTCGCCCTGCATGTAATTTTGTATCACTCGGATAAAAGAAAAAATAGAAGGAAAAAAAAGAAGCAAAGAAAATTGCTGAGAGAAGAAAATTAACTTAAAAATGAAAGGAATATAGAAAAGTACATGCACAGCGTGTTTCCGAATGCATGAGATTTGATCATTTAATTTTTATTTAACGCTGAAAGTGTACATTTTACTCACTTTAAAATCTATTTGATCATTCTTTAATGTTTCCATCTGTTTATACTCAAGGGTATAGATGAATTGAATCGACTTGATAAACTTTGTGGCGGATTTGTTTTTGCTTTCAAACATTCTCTTCAGCTTTATTTCCTAAGGACATGTATAGTACATTCATATTCGGTATAGCCATGAAAGACTAATGCAATCGAGATCTTGAGTATCGCCCACAAACTTACTAAGCTCGCATTTGCCATTGTGTATAAAGGTTAAAGAATTTGATGTCTAAATAGAGGGAGGAAACTTCATGACAATATAGATTGAGGATTGTCGGATTGTATATGCTAAGTTGCTATCATGACAAATTATGATGTGCATGTGCCCTTGGAATATGACATTTCACATTAGGGAGGTGGGTCGAACGCGGAAATATATTGTCCAATATATTTGTACGTGGATCATGTATAAATTTGGATTACATGATTTAGGTCCACAAGTCATGTGATACATCACGTCATTGATACTCTATATTAGAGGTGTCAATTCGGATGTTTGGGTCAGGTTTGGTGAGTCGATCGGGATTAATTTCAAACTTGAGTAATGCTAAATTATTGTGTCCATTCAAGAAAGCAAAATATCTCTCTTAAAGTTTTTTAGGAATTTTGTTTTTTTGGAAAAATCTTGTAATGAGCTGTCAAATGAAGTGTGTAGATCAAGTTCAACTCGGATCATTTTTTCCAGTCATGCTAGATCAGTGTCTGTGCTAATCATATGTCAGTTTGGGTATCTTTGGTTCACATTGAGTTAGAGGTGATTATAGGCCAAGCAGAGTTGGATGCCCAAAAAAATCGGCGCATTTTGGGCCAAGCCTTTGGTTCAGACTGGGCCCAACTAAAAATACGTGCCCAGATTTACTATTTTGGGCCAAAATTAGATAGGTCAAATTTTAGATTGGATATTTGGGCTGTCCAAACCCAATTTTTTTACAATTGAGTCGGGCTGGAAATACAGCCCAAAAATTCTGGCTAAACCCGGATTTTTTTTCAGGCCAGGCTTAGTTTGATCAGGTCTACTTTGAGTTAGGTGGGCTTGTGCTTGAAGGAAGCCAGGCTTTGACATTCACAAATACACAATAACAATTAACAAGCTATGTAAATATGTAATTCCTTTGCATAAAAAAAAAAAAAAAAATCCCCCCACCCTTCAAATCCCGTAACTAGTTTTCCAAAACTTTTACACAAATAATAATCAATACGTCCATTAGCTAATAAAATACTTGTAAGCTATTTAAGCAACCATGAAATAGGCTATCAATAACGGATAATGAGCAAAAATCACCAAGTAGGGCAAAAATCATTTTTTTTTTTACTTCGTAGTTTAGGGTTACTCTATGTGGATTGTTAAACATCGCCCGCAAATCTCCAAATAAAGCCCACAAATCTATATTGAATTTACCTTATTGCCCTAGACCTAAAAAAAAAATCTAACCCATACCCACACTCTAATCACCCAAAAATACGACAATATCGAGGCGGCAAGGCAAGGACTTGGCGGCCACAGCGGCATAGGGAAGGACGGCTCACGGTGGCAAGGTTTTGTTTTAAAAAAAAAATTTAAAAAAAAAAGAAGTGGTGGGGCGCCTGGCCAGGATGCCCAGCCCCTGGTGGTGGCGTCTGCTCCGGCCCCCGGAACCAGGGGGCTGGCGTCTGGCCTAGAAGCCTAGCCACGGTTGTGGCGTTTTCCAGAGGTGCCATCGCCATGGTTGGGCGTCTAGGCCAGACGCCAGCCCCCCTGGTTCCGGGGGCCGGAGCAGACGCCACCACCAGGGGCTGGGCGTCTTGGCCAGGCGCCCTACCACTTCTGGTTTGTTTTTTTTTTTGTTTGGAAAATCAGAATTCTTTTGTTAATGTTTAATATTTTTGTTTTATGTGTTAATTTGTTTGATGTGTTAATTAATTTTATGTGTTAATGTTTTTATTTCTAATATATATATTTTTTTTTTGAAAATCAGAATTTTATGTGTTAATGTTTAATTTTTTTGTTTTATGTGTTAATTTTTCATATGTGTTAATTTTTTTGTATGTGGTAATTTTTTGTGTTAATAAATAGTGTTTAAATTTTATACATTATGTGTAATATATTTATTTGTTGAGTAACATTATTTTTTTCTGTTAATGTTTACATTTTTTGTTTTATGTGTTACTTTGTTGTGTTAATTTTTTTATGTGTAATATATTTTGTTTTTGAAATTTTAGACGCCAACCGCCTCTTCATATAAAATTCAAAATATTTAAAACATAATTTCAGATTAAAACAATTATTTTTTTTGAACTTATTAACGCTTTAATTTCAAATTTATCAAAGTTAAAAAACCAAAAAAAAAACTTTAAATAAAATTAAAAAAAAAATTACAAAAAGCTTAAATAAAATTAAAAAAAAAAGTTTAAATAAAATTAAAAAAAAAGTTTAAATAAAATTACAAAAAAAAAACAAAAAAAAATAAAAAAAATTACAAAAAGTTAAAATAAAATTACAAAAAAAAAAAAAATTACAAAAGTAGGAGTGGCGTCTGGCCAGGACGCCACATCCATGGTGGCGGCGTCCTAGCCAGGCGCCACTGCCACGGTTGCGGCGTCCCGGCTAGACGCCACCGCCACGGTAGTGGCGTTCCGGCCAGACGCCACCCCTACGTTTCGTAATTTTTCCCGGATTATCTCGCTTTTCGGCGACGATGACGGCTCTCCGGTGTCTCTCGACGATCCACTCCAGCTCCACATTCTTCGTGAGAGTGAATTACGGTTTCGGCAAAATTTAAAAAAAGGGCAAAAGAGTCAAAGTAAAAATAATTGTGGGCTTTATGTAGAGATTTGTGGGCGATATTTAACAAATCCCTCATCTTGTAGGAACATGTCAAATCGGGCATGAAGATTGGGTTTGGGTTACAATATCTCAATTCATGCCATTTAAAATCCGGGCTATGATAATAAAAAAAATGCATATTCCGGTCTACAAAAAGTTTGGTCGAATTATTTTTGAATCGAGTTGATTTTTAACCGCTTTATTTACGAATAACTCGGTTCCCGCCATGTAAATGCTTACTCCGTACTATATGAGCAAAATCATAACATTAAAACAAAATCCCTTTAAAACTCCAAATGTTGAACAGAGCCGTAGTCTCTGCAACAACAATACCAGAGAGAAACTTCTTCCTCAACCTCATCTCCAAATCAACAACACTCACAAAACTCAAACAAATCCATGCTCAAATCATTCTCAACGCTTTCAACTCCGACGTTATTACAATCACTAAGCTCACTCAAAAACTTTGCGACATTGGATCCATTCACCATGCTAATCTTCTTGTTTCTTCAACTCCAACCCCAGATCTTTTCCTCTACAATGTCCTCATTCGTGGGTTTTCTCTCAATCATTTGCCATCTTCTTCTGTTTCTGTTTATACCCAGTTGCGTCGAAACTCGATTCTTCGGCCTGATAATTTTACCTACGCTTTCGCTGTTTCGGCTTCTGGGTCACTTGGGGATCAAAGGGTTGGTATGTTGCTTCATGCTCACTCGATCATTGATGGGGTTGGTGCTGATTTGTTTGTTGGGTCGGCTGTTTTGGGAATGTATCTTAATTTTTCCAAGATTGGGTATGCATATAAGGTGTTTGATAAAATGTCTAAGAGAGATACGGTTTTGTGGAATACTATGATTTCTGGGTTGGTTAAGAATTGTTGTTATGTTGATTCGCTTCGGGTTTTTCGTGATATGGTTGGTAGTAGTGCTCGTTTTGATTCCTCTACTTTGTCTGTCATTCTTCCTGCTGTTGCGGAGTTGCATGATTTGAATGCAGGGAAGGGAATTCAGTGTTTAGCTTCCAAAGCAGGGTTAAATTCTCATGGTTATATTATTACTGGGCTTGTTTCTATGTATTCAAAATGTGGGGATGTATGTACTGCTAAATTGTTGTTTAATGAGATGAGGAAACCAGATTTGGTATGCTATAATGCATTGATTTCCGGGTATACATGTAATGGCGAAACGGGTTCTGCAGTAAGTCTTTTTAATGAATGGCTGATTTCTGGAGTAAAAGTGAATTCTAGCACAATTGTAGGACTTATACCAGTTGGGTATCCTTTTGGCCATCTAAGTTTGACTACGTCCATTCATTGTTTCTGTATCAAAACCGGGATGACAGGAAATTCGTCTGTGTCAACAGCAATAACTACAGTATATAGTAGGCTAAATGAAATTGATAGGGCTAGACAATTATTTGATGAGTCCCCTGAGAAAAGTTTGGCAGCTTGGAACGCCATGATATCAGGTTATACACAGAATGGCTTGACTGAAATGGCAATATCATTATTTCAGCAAATGCAAAAGTGCAATGTTCGTCCAAATCCTGTTACAGTTACTAGTATCCTATCAGCATGTGCACAGTTGGGAGCAGTTAGTCTAGGAAAGTGGGTTCATGAACTGATTCATGAGGAAAAGTTAGAATCAAATGTATACATATCAACTGCTTTGATTGACATGTATGCAAAGTGTGGAAGTTTAACCACAGCTCGGGAATTATTTGATGCCATGCCTGAGAAAAATGTGGTGTCCTGGAATGCAATGATTTCTGGCTATGGCCTTCATGGACTTGGACATGAGGCAGTGAGTCTCTTTTATGAAATGTTGGAGTCAGAAATTCCTCCCAGTGGAGTAACTTTTCTTTGTGTTTTGTATGCTTGTAGTCATGCTGGCCTAATTAGTGAAGGAAATACAATTTTTCATTCTATGGTTCATGATCATCATTGTAAACCAGTAGCTGAGCATTATGCCTGCATGGTTGATCTTTTTGGCAGAGCAGGACAACTAGACAAGGCTTTAAACTTTATCGAGAGTATGCCTATTAAACCCAGTTCAGTTGAGTGGGGAGCATTACTTGGTGCGTGCATGACTCACAAGAATACAGACATGGCACGCATTGCTTCTGACAACTTGCTAAAGTTAGACCCTGAAAATGTGGGGTACTATGTATTACTTTCCAACATATATTCAGCTGATCGCAACTATTGTCACGCTGCTTCTGTTCGACAAGTAGCCAAGAAAAGAAGGCTGGCAAAGACACCTGGGTGCACCTTAATAGAGCTAGGTGACACTCCTCATGTCTTCACATGTGGTGATCGCTCCCACCCACAAACAACTGCAATATATGCGAAGTTGGAAGAGTTAATGGCAAGAATGAAGGAGGCTGGGTATCAGCATGAGACTTTAACAGCGTTGCATGATGTTGAGGAGGAAGAGAAGGAGCTCATGGTAAATGTTCATAGTGAGAAGCTAGCTATAGCTTTTGGGCTTATCTCGACTGAGCCAGGAACTGAAATCAGGATCTTCAAGAACCTCAGGGTCTGTTTAGACTGTCATACTGCAACTAAGTTCATCTCCAAGCTCACTGATAGAGTTATTATAGTTAGAGATGCTAACAGGTTCCACCATTTTAAAGATGGTGTCTGTTCTTGTGGAGACTATTGGTAAATTTGATGTGGCTGTTTGGATTGTGGCAATTGAGCTATGTGGAATACTCAAAATAGGTGAGATACTTCTAGCCTCATGCCAGAGAATTTTTTTTTATACCATACCAAGAAGTTGTTATGAACTAGTTGTGTTAATATGTTTGCTTGCATTTCATTACTTGCATGTTTTTGAAATTATGATTAGTATCAATATTTCTTCAGTGTTAAATCTTGAACACTATAAAGACCTGTTTTTTCTTTGCATACTGATTCTCTTACATATTAATGCTTAGATAAATATCTTAATTTGATCCACAAGGCTGTAATCACTGAACGTTAAATCTTCTGAATGTGATACTGTGATGTTGCAATTCTAAACTTTGAGAAAGTGGAAAGGAATCTAATAGTTTTTACTTCACTTTTAAGGACTCCATTGCTCTTCTTCTCGAACTAGAAGCTCTTTGAACTTTGGACATATACTATTTATTTTTATTTATACTATTATTGAAGACATTGTAAGGTTTCCACACTCTCAAGAAAAGATTTGCAACATCACTGGATGTAGCATAAACTTTTGTCTTGTTTCCACTTTGCTTTAGTTTAAGATGGTTTTTTTTTCCTTCAATTTATTCATATGCACTGTGTAGCTCACATACATATGATAGTAATTCTGTTTGCACCATTACTTTCTTATATTATCTTCCTTTCTGAGGATTTGAGGCTCACCCCCCCCCCCCCCCACCATCCTCTTTCTGGCGGTTTTTTTAAGCAATTTAACTTACTGCCCTCCTTGACAGCTCAGGTAGAATAAATCCAGAGTTGCGGTCATCATCATTTTGCATGTTAGAGGAACTCCTAGACTTCTACCACTACATCCTGGTCAGTTTATATTATATCTGCTAATATTTGATGGAATGAAATAAACAATTCTACTTCTTAACTTTGTCAGCTAGGGTTTCTACTTTTTTTGGCCCCAGTTTGCTATTTCTGTTTCTTGGTTTTAGTAATGTAGATCATGGAATGAATAGATATGCTATTGAAGATTTCATGATGTGCAAATCACTAAGCTAATCAATTATCAATTATGTTGGATGAACCTGTGATTCTGTGAATCTGTTTTTACACCATTGCAAAACTTACAATCCTTTTTTCTGACAAAAATCTTCAGTGCTACATAAGCCAAATGCACTATCACCATTGTTTTTTTGGGGCAATGGCTGTTTCAGAAACTACAACCTTAGCAATTGAGTCCACATGCCTTGGTATCAGGACCCTTTGTTTTTATCACAAATGGGTCAATCCTCACCCAGAGTAAGGAGAAGATAGAGGCCAATAGAATTGACCAAATAATAACAATGGTTGGTGTCCTGTTCTGCCGCCCCATGAGACCCTTCAGGAACGGATAAAGATGGACAATCACCCAAAAGGAAAAGAAAAGCTTTCCAAAGAGAGGCCCCCATGATTCGTAGCCATTATTTATGGCATCAGAGACTCCTGCAACCACACCTACTAAGTTGATGACTAAGATTGTGGTTGGAGGAATAAGAAGGGTCGTCCACTTAAAGGCATATAGCTCAGAAAACTCATCCTCGTCATCAACTGTCTTAGATGTGACAGTAAAGTTTGTATCAATGCCTGCCAAAATCTTGAGAAGCCCCTGTATGACCGCGAAGAGATGTGCTGACACTCCACCAATGACCCAAAACTGCTCATTTCTCCACCATTCTTCGATGCTAACTCCACTCCACTTGAGCTCAAGGATACCAGTGGCAAAGATTGATAGAAAGAGCCCAAGGTAAAAAAGACTTGCAAAAGTGCTTATCTGCATCAACACAATTTCTTATTAGGATTAGTACTGTGTGGATATGTGTGGAGTGTCAAAGCATTTATTCTGGACTACATGACAAGTTGCTTATATCTTTTTACATGAATGCTGAAAGGTAATGGAAAACTTCCTTTGAATGTGGCATTCTAGTATTTATATAACTCTTCTAGTACAGGGAGAAGTTGTCCTTACCGTTGGCATGATGAATTTTCCAGTGAGTAGACAGACAGCTGGGAGTATACAATAGGCGAGCAGTGGTAAGGAGGTGAACGGGTAAATAGTAGTGTTGATGTATGCGAAACGCTCAAGAAACTTCAGTTTGCCTCCTTTGTGCCCATACCATAAAGGGCTGTGCCGACTGAAGAAGATTTCAACAGAACCAAGGGCCCAACGAAGCACCTGGTTCAGTCGATCAGAGAGATTGATCGGAGCAGACCCTTTAAATGCGGGTCTCTTGGGCATGCAATATATAGACCTCCAACCCCGACAGTGCATCTTGAATCCTGTTAGGATATCCTCAGTAATTGATCCATAGATCCAACCCAACTGTACATTCAAATAGGAAGAAATTAAAAAATTTGAAGCTTTTACTGATTGCTATTGTTTGCAGTATAATTATGTGGTGGATTGTGTATTTTGAAGCCACATCAATAGTCCTGTACATGTGGTTGCTATATAGCAGAATTAGAAGCTCAAGACTGAATTGGTCCACGCAAAGAGCTACTAGTCATAGGTTTTTGATGAATCAGTTAGATTACCTCAACACCCCATTCTGTTTTATCTTCATAGCCACAGCTGATGACATGAATGGCTTCCTTCAGCAGTTCTGCAGGACTTGATGAAGGAGGAACACCGCCATCAACCATCAATGTCGAGGTCACAAAAATTGCTGACTGTCCAAATTTCTTTTCAAAATTCATTTGGGACATCAAGAGCTCTTGATCATCCTCATAACCTACAATGGTAACCATTTGTTAGATCTGTTGATAGTCAAATGAGGGATCAAGCTTTAGTAAGCTAGTGGCTACGGAAAATATGTACTAAACCTTGAAGGTCTACGTTAGCATCTCCTTTGGCACCATGTTTAGACTTTTGATGCTTCTTGCGGCGACCAAAACATGGGCAGCAGTCACAGCTTACCATCTTTGGCCGTTTAGGACGCTTAGGTGGTTCATACCCATACAAGGCTTGCCTTTTGAAGACACATCCTGTGCCCACATATACAGGACCTTGAATTCCATCTAGCCCTTTCATGTTAATCTGAAAAGTAAGTACAAAAAGCCTTAAGAATATAAATAGATAATGTTGATGAATTCTTTAGTGTTGAAAATTTCAGTCTCCGATCAGGAGCTTACATCAAAAAATACTGTGTTTCTGTTGGCATATCGATCGTGCTGGTCTATTCCATCAAACCTTTGAGGAAATTGGACAAAGCAAACTTTCTTCCCAGTTTGTGGATCCATCAGGAAACACATTGCTTCTCTAACTGCCTTGCTGTTGTTTAGATAGTGGTCACAATCCAAATTTAACATGAAAGGTGCATTTGTTAGAACTGCAGAGACGCGCACCTGCAAGTTTGAAGGTGCATTAATGTTCCATTAAGTTGTCAAATTTGTAGTGCCAGTCCTATCTTTTTTCGCGCGTGTGTGTGTGTTTGAATTTGTTAATTTTTGTATGGCAACTTCATTATTATTGATATTTATAATCAAAGAATAAAACGACCTGCATCCTGGTCTTAATTTTCAAAGGCACATAAACTTAAAATTCCCAGATCTTCATCCTGTTTCTTACTTTTCATTTTCACCACTTTCTCAGAGAAAATTACTTCACCAATTACTTCTGAAACTTACCAGGGCATTCATTGCACCAGCTTTCTTGTGATGCTGGAATCCAGGCCTCTTCTCACGAGAGACATAAACTAAACGAGGAAGTTCGTTTCCTTCAGTGTCATGTCCTCCACTGTGGCCGAGAAATACTTGAATCATACCTGGGTGATCCTTTGTATTATTTCCTGGCCATGGTGTTCCATCTTGCATGATCCAACCTTCTGGAGGAACTTTTGAAGCTTTTGCCACCATTGCATTTATCCGAACCTTAAATTCTTCATAGGCTCTCTGAGAATTATATTTACCAAAACATTCAGCTTTAGTAATCTTACATAGTCCATAGGGATTACATGCTTGTATAAAGGTTTTGTAATAATACCTTCATAGAACGCCTCTCCTTCACAAATGTTGGTTGGACCTTGTCTTTGAGATAATCGATTTTCTGGGAAAAATAAAATTCTGGAGCTCTAGGTTCTATGGAAAATTTCTTGCAGAAAGGAACCCATTGTCTAGCAAATTCTGCAGTTTCTGAGAGTGATTCAAAGGAAAGCATTGAAGCTCCGTCATCAGAAATGTAGCATGAGATCTTCTCAACTGGGTAGTCCATTGCTAGTATAGATAGCACAGTGTTGGCTGTAACTAGAGGAGGTTCTTTCATTGGATCCACTGTACTGACAAAGACATCAATGGGTGCCAGCATATTTGGTTCTCCTTCTTTCTCATATCTGCACAACATGCTTGAGAGTCAGACTTTTTTTCAACATTGGCCACTTTTATCATTTATGTTCCATCATATAGTTATATATCTCCTTTGGTTTGGTGTTGAATTTTTGAATTTCTAATCATGCAATTACTGTGCAAGATATGAGTGATATCATTATCATGCCTGTGAAATCTAAATTTTAGTTGGTGCTGTTGGCAGAAAGCTTTACCTGAGAGAGAGGCGATCCAAGTATGTTTCTCGATCAATGGGGAACCATTTGGGGAACTGATCAAGGATCCATGAGACGGCAAACCATATCTCACAGATCACAGATGTCAGCCAGAGCCCAATGGCATCATGTACAGGGTTAAGGATACGATAGCGGAGGAACACAGCCAAAATAAAAAGCCTTAAAACAATGAGCATGCGGTAGGGATTGATCTTGCTGGATGCAATGGGTACTTTCCGGGAGAGTGGTTGCCTTGCTTCATCAATCCTGCATAGGTTCTTACATCAGTGAGCATTTGTTATGTGGCTCAAGCACTAACATTTTATTTTGCAGTTATTCTGATGAGGAAGGGAAAAGGAAGAAAAACGGGAAACAGTTTTTACATGGCATTTTCTAGGTCATTATAATCTTCATGATCAGGCCCCAGATTCCCCTGCTGCAGTTTCCATTCATTCCATCCTCCATCTTTTCTATCCTCCCATCTCGCGCTTCCTGTATCCAGTTACAGTTACAAAAATATAGTTAGATATCTTCAAACACCAGTTTATCAACTTGTACTAATAGTGTTTTGCCTGTTATATTTCTCAAATATGGTAAAAGCTTTTCTAGAAATTATAAGTTTCTTGTCTCTGTTGCTACTCGAACTTATTGTCGTTATTCATATTCTTGTTCCTGCATTTCGGTTTTAACTCTTACTACTCTGATCATTGATTTCATGAAACTGAAGAACTGTATGTTTACTATGTTTTGATCAGTCCGTCAACTTCTAACGATCATTTAAACTGTTGGCAAGTGAGCTCTGACATTAGTTTTTTTTTTTAAAAAAACCTGGTTCAGACGAAGGATATGGATGCACACGCTTATGCAGCGAAGGCATCTGATCTGCACCATGACTAGAGATCGGAAATTCTCCACTCACCTACATATATGCATCGATATGAGATCAGATAATCTCCTATGATATTGAAGAATCTGTACATAAAGCATTGTAATGTTATATACTCACATGTCGAGAACGAAGACCAGCTATAACAGGGGGAAAATGAGAATTTTCTTCATCATCATGACCTCGTCCATAGCTCATTTTCCCTTGAAGCAATGCCTCAGCAACCTGGTTGTTTTTGTTATTTTCATCATCTATGTTGAACTCATGCTCAATGTCATCAATGTCTTCTTCATCGTCGTCTCCCTCCACCCTGGGGCTCCCTGTTTACACATTAAGCATTACACGTCTTAAACATTTTCTGCTGCAATATTTTTGGTTTTTAAGAGTTTTTATCTGCAGTTTTACCTATCTGCTATATTTGAACATGATACTATGAATAAAAATCTGAATTTTAGTAACTAGTCATATTTAATGCTGTACCTTTGAGCCTCTTGTATCTGGTCTTGCACTGAGGACAGTTTTGGCTGCCCTCTCTTCTTTCATACTCATAGCAAGGGCGACACACCGGAAAACCACACTCGTTGCAAGCAACAAACAGGTCTCCATCAACGGTAAGTCCGATCTCATCTCCACATATCTCACATACTTGTCCACTCAGATCCTTCAACGGTTTGTGCTGCATATACACAAAGCACCCATAAGAGATTAAGATCGCGCCATAACTTACATAAACTGAAACTGGTTCCAGTATATATATTCCCTTGGTTTCACCTTGACTATCCTAATTGATCAAACTCTCATATGATAATGAACGTTAAAAATTTCCAATAATTGTATATTGTAGTGTTATTAGTTATTTGCATGATATAAATAGTAAGCATGTTGGGGGATCATATATAACGTTTCTAAATTATTAATCCCAAAAGTAATAACTAAGCAAGCTACTAAACAAATTTTTTAACAAAGTTTGGGGTATCGTGTCATAAATTCTCCTATAATGAATATACTTAGGAGTTGTGTATGTTATGTAATATGCATGTAAAAGTGTAATCGTTACCTCTTCATGGCCTTGAATGACAACAAGCTCATTCCGGTTATGAGAACCGGCAACAAGACCGGCGCTTGCTTCCATCACGAGGAGGACGACGAGCAGAGAGACGGGTGAAGAAGTAAGAGTGAGGTGAGGGAGGTGAGGGGAGGCTTTCTAATTTATGAAGAAAGAAAGGTAGGACATAAAGCTTAGTCTCTCACCTAATGGTGGTGTGGTGTATTATTTGGTATATAGTTTGTTGTGGAGTCCCTTTGCTCGTTGCCTTGAAGTAAAGTTACCTCTTAGCTAGTTATATTCTGAACTGTCCAACTCAACTAACTTTGCATTTCTATACTCTTATTTATTTTGTACCAACGACTTATTGGGTATGAATACTTTTATCTTTCTTTCTTTTTCTCTTCTTAAAATGTATTTTAGGGATTTTTGCAAGAGATTCAAGAAATGATCAATAATGGTTTGTGAGATTGCATTCAAGTAGATCTATATGGTGTCAATTGACTAATTAGTAGAGGGCTCGGAGTGTTTATTTTATGGTGTAAAGAGAGCTACAATTTTACAAGTGACAGTGATGCAGACGAGATTTAATCTCAAGTCTTGGATACCACTCTCAAGACTTTAATCAACTAAACTAGTTGTCATCCATAAGGTGAGAGTGCTTATACCAAGGCAACACAAGCTTATAATTATTTACATAAATATACTCGTACATTCGGTCTCAAGTGCAACTGGCTTCGAGCAGATGATATGTTTTTAAACTCAAGACGTGCAAATAGTCATCACTAAGGTCTTATACTAAAACACCCAAAATGATTTACTCCGCTTTCTAAATCATTGTACAAAATCTACATGGATGTGCTTACTTATTGCATTATTGGTGAAACAAATGAAATAATAGAGCGTCTCTCACTTTCAATGTTGACACACATAGAGTCGATAGAGGTGTGCAAATGAACCAAGCAGAGCTCAAAAAACATACAACAATTCACTCAATAAATGTACTACACTGCCCTTCAACATGTAATTGAGTTGATAGGAAAGTTTTACTTTTACATGTACGAGATATAGTAGATTGCTTAAATTTTAATCCCATCAAAATTCTTCTCGTATAATTGAGGTAGAATTTACAACAAAAATCTCACCATGCTCTAAGCAATTGATGTTGATGTAATTGGTGGCCTATCGTTGTTAAGAAAATTGTTTTTCATATAATTTCAAGAACGATATAATACTGATTCTAGCACAGCAACTCGAAAGATATTTCTACAACGTTGAGCAAACTGAGTAAGCCGTACAAACTCTATTTCATTAATGCTATACAGAATTTGTAATTTGCTATGAAACCTTGTACATAATGAAGACTATAAGCCACCTATTTCTCAGTAGAGCTTGAACCACTTTTGTATCACTAAACACCAGCTGAGACTTCATTGGAAGCAACTGAGACTTCATTAGGAGCAGCTGAGACTTCATTAGGAGCAGCTGAGACTTCGTTAGGAGCTGAATCACGCTTCTTCTTTGGCCCTTCCGGGGCCTTTTGCACGACATTTTTATTTGGTACAAGAATCAAAAATATAAATCTCTCGGTGAAATCTTCTTTCTTCCGACGAGCAAAATTGTTGTGCTCCTCAGTTGCAAGCTGCAAATCATATCAATCAACAATCAAACCATAAATTGCTGAAAATGCTGCAACACTGTCTGGAGCTCAATGGAATCAGAACACATGAAACTCAACAAAGAGAATTAAGAATGAAGTTTCAAGAAATACAAGTTCAACTAAATGCCAATTAGTCCAAATTAAGGTTACAATTTACTACAAATATAAGGCTAAATAAGTTTTAATAAGTTTAGATAAATAAATTGAAATGAAAAGAAAGAAGCCTAAAATTATGAGCTTAAAAACCAGATAATGTCATATCATCCAGTTGACATGAATTAGATGATTACCTCACCAAGGTCACTTTGGAACTTTCTGATGAGCTGAATCGCCTTATCTATAAAGGCTTTTTCACGTCCTTTCATAGTTACCATAACCTTTACCTGTAAACAAGAACCAATATGCTCAATGTAGTGAGTGAAAATCACAAAGCTGAATAGCGGAGCATACATGGTAGTCCATAGGAGGAATGCAAAGTAACCTTGTCACCATCTTTTAAGAACTTCTGTGCAGCTCTAAGGCGCACAGAATAATCATGGACATCGATGTTGTACCTAAAAGAAGTACAGAATAAAACCAGTTAGGTAAGGAAGCTTTTTCACGACTCACAGCATTTCCAGCTCTTTTGAGAAAAGAAAGTCTGAAGAGAAATTGCGGAAGATAGGTTGTTCTTACCCCATCTTGAGTTCTTTTAAGTCCATACGACTAGCTAAAATTCAAAGAAGAATCGGGTTAGTTTCTTTTACTTCACTAAATGCATGATTGCATGAGTAAGAATAAGACTACTAGAAATGCTAGATAGAAGTAATTCACCAGCACTTTTCTTCTGTTGTTCCCTTTTCTTTTTCTGCTGTTCATATCTATATTTACTGAAAAAAAGAAAGAAAAAAAAATGACAAGTAATAAGAAAAAAGTGACAGAAGGTAGTATCTGATATACAGTATACACAGAAGATAGCACAACTAAACAAAATATTAATCCTTGCTAATTGCCTAATCTATGAAATTGCAAACCACAAAGCGAGTCTCCACAACCCCTCAAACTAATTCTGTAAAATCATTTAAGAAGGAATGATATGATGCCAGTGGATCTACAAGGAACAATGAAATTATTGAAATCGCATTGTCAGGAGGTATCAACGGAACCAGGAAGGAAAAGGAAACGTACTCATAGTTCATTATTCTGACAACTGGAGGATCTGCATCAGGTGAGAGGACCACCTTTAAAAAATAAAAATAAAGAATCATTAATAACCATGTAATCAATGTATTACTAAATTTCAATAACTAACGAGGCCATTGGGCTGAACCTGCAGAATTAACACAGTTCATATGAAGTCCCGATAAGTCTGAGAGGCTGAACATAAGCGAGTCTAAAATAAAGATTATGTTGTAGAACTTTAACACCACACCATTTTTACCATGGCAGAATTCAATTGAATTACATGTATGATCAAGTTGGAAAAACATAGACCAGAATAAAATTCAACACGTTCAATTTGATATGATTGTAAATAGAATACTTCAAATCTTTAGTCTAATAGATAGTTATACTGAGCACTTGTGCTCTTCATCCTTCCAACATCTCGAACCAAGAATACATGACTTTAAGATCCAGTAATCATAATTCATAAACCATAAGCAAATGGGTAAGAAACTAAAAGGAGGGTTGCATCCAAGTGGCAGCATCTCACTCGCTTTCCCTTCCCCCTCCTCCCTTTTTCTTTTTCTTGAAGACGTCAATCCTACAGTCTCATCTTTTTAATTAATCATATAACATCCTTCACCATAAGCTTACACTTTACAGAAATAGACCTGAGTATCCTGTGATAGACTCAATGGGGCTGCCACCTAAGTGTAATGGGAAGCATAGGACAGCAAGGCACTATTGAACAAAACTCATCAATGAAACACTAAGGGGAGGAGTAACAAAAGCCTGCTGTTTTGATACTCTGTGGAATAGTGATAAAGTTAATTAATATTAGGTTTCTTTGTTGTCTAGTGTAGCTTGCTTGATTATATAAGGAGTAGTAGTATAGCAGTAGAAGGATGAGATTTGTATTGAGGAAATGAGAAAGAATGGTAACCTCAAGTTACTAAGAGAGTGATAACCTAAAGTTATCAAGGAGAGTAATAGCCTAAAGCTATTAACTATCACTTTTGTATCCAAATTTCTGCCATTATCAATCAAAGACAAAAACTTTTAGCTTTAAATTTCTTGTTCATTAGAACTTATAATCTGAAAACCTTAGTCTATTACATATCCCTTCCTAGCACATTCAGCCACCAATGTTAGCAATATCACTCAACTTAATAAAGGGCATGCGGTCAGCAATCTAAACTTCAATGTGTGCAGATAAATCAATATCTAATGATCCTACTGATCCATCAGTGGCTCAGTGCATCTATATTTGATGCTCCAACAAATATGATTTTGGGTCACAGAATAGTTGTATAATTCAGAGGTGAATGCCCCAGCTTAGCTTTATAAACCATTTATCTCTAAGGTAGACTAAATTATGTTCGTATACAAGTATATATTTATTAAGCTGTAGCATGACAATTCAGAACCATGATGCACTAATATCTGTGTCCTGTATTGATACTTCCAAGCAAAATCCCATGAACTTAAAAAGCCTAATTCCGAGAAATGGACCAGGAGTAACTAATGGAAAATTTCAAATTTATCCCAACAGTAATGGGCCACATAGTTTTTACAGAGTACTATTTCTTAAAATCTCTCCTTATGGCTTCCCAAATTTTCCTATGAGTTCCAAAATTTGACCTGTAATAGCTACCGGGATAAAGTTTCAAGGTTCAAACCATTAACAGGGTGCTTATTCGATACTCTAAATCACCCATGTTAAACACATGCTTGACACTTGGATAGTACAATAAAAGATAATAGGAAAAAATAAAAAGTAAAAATGTGTTCATTTCATTCCCTTCAGGCAAGCCCTAGTGTCAGAAGACTCAATACACTATAGGACCTGTGTAACACAGCTTACAGCACCATGTATTAGACATTAGACACAAACCCCTACACTTAAAGACTCCATACATTCATTTATTGCCTTGCCATGAGTTTGTTTTTTTTTTTTTTTTTTTTAATTATTTTATATCCGGACAAAGTTCATAGAGAGATTATAAATCTATAAAGCAGTCTATTAGGAGTGTGATGAACAATCATAACTCATTTAAACTGTTGGCTTATAAAATAATGAAGAAAGAAGTTGGAACAGGGGAGTTGCCGATAAAGGATAGATAAGAAGACAGTTTGGTAGTTCTCAAACAAGTAGATTTTGGGACAATCCAATATGGAAATGTGACTAATCATTTAGGGATACAAAACGTTGTAAGGATAAAGAGGACAGAGAAGCAAAGACGAGGTAAACAATCAAAATAACATTTGACATTAGATATTGATATAACACTCACAATATGAAGACACATTACAAATTTTTACAAACATATACTTCTATAGCATTCAATGTAGCAACACATGGCAACTACCACCCCATGTAACGGATCGATTT